ATCATTTTTCATGTTTCACGACATGTTTCAGTTCCTAAAAGAACCATCCTCAGGTGTATATAATTATATAAAGCTTCAAAACGATAAATAATTCAAATACAATTTTCATACATTATGCCAGCGTACATTTTTTATCAGATTTTTACCAGATATTAAACGATGTTCTTTTTCAGATTTTTATTCCATTTTTAATAACACACTCGATGTTGTTCTGTATATATACATCATGCTCAATGAGATTCAATATATACTTATTATATCACAATATGACGCAATTTTACCATCTTAGAAATAAATATATAAGAAACAGGTTACCAAGAATCTGCTAATACCACATCTAAATCTACTTTGAACGAGATTGTATTCTATAACTTCATTTTCTGTCTCTCAGTGTCCATGTCTTTGCAGTCCTCTTCACGCAAGTCTGCAGGTCCTCATGCAAATACGTAACACAAAATTAAACTGTCAGGTTGCACCCTATAGACATGGCAGAAAGTTGCTAATATATTAAGTACGCTGTAGCGGACGGCAGACAAGGGGTGGTCTTCTAGCATCCGAGCTAACAAATTCTCACAGTAAAATAGAGAATATTACATTGTGTTACAAAGGGCCTTATTGGGTACTTGTACACACTGTAATAAATCATATTCCACAAAAGGTGGATAATTTCACGACCTAAGCGACTAGTAGCTTCTCAAGAAGTACTTTGCTCAATGACGTTACTTTTATCTATCACGGTTCTTGTAAAGTTCGTTGTTCTTCAACTGAATTCCAGCTCAGAATTCATTATTTAGATAATTAATAGGATTTTAGGGGCAGGAATATTGAGGGTGATTAATGTATAGAATGTATCTGTAGAATTAATAACATTTTATTTGACATTTCAGTACCTCCTAAGATATAAGATTCTGGGGAACATTTGTGAAGGAACTACGACCTTTTCCGTAAAAGTGGTCAGTCAATTCCTGTTTGAAACTGTACATAAACCAGGATATGTGGGTACGTTCTTCGATGCGAAATCATGTAACGTCTCGGAAGAAATTCACGAGTCTACAAGCGAGATAGTTGATACTGCACTGAGATAAAACTGTGAAATTTAATATGGACTATACAAGATGAAAGCTCCTTAGTGGAATAAATACTCGCTTATCTTTCATATTAACATCGTTATAGAAGTGAATTTCCTTGACGATCTGTACGATGAAATGTTTGGTTTTTACGAAGTGTATAAAGACACAAAGTGATGCAGGTCTCTTCAATATATTTAACAAACAACGAGCACCACTTTTGTCTTTACTAAAAGTACGTCTACTGACATTCAGTGTCTATATCACGCCGTTAAGCTGATGCGCTACGTTAGATCCTTAAAATTCAACAACAACACGAGGAATGTGATTCTAATCCTTACAAACCCTGAGCACACAATTGTGGGGCAGAATGTGGCACCTGCTTAAGCTACGTGAGAATAAGAGTTAGTGTTCACCTCTGATACGAGATTACATCAGAGTTTGGAAAGAAAGGAACAGGACGAGAGAGAAAATGAGAGTGTAGAAAGAGGAGTAGTAAGAAAACAACTAAAAAGGAGAATAAAAGGAACTAGAAATAGTAATGTAGAAATAAATATAAACAAAAGTACATGGCCACTGGCGGCTCTTATAAATCTAATAATAAAATAAAACAGTAACGGTGTCTTAACAGGCCGTTCGCACGTGATGCACTGCGAACTGATTAGGATTTTTGAGAACTGTACAAGCACAGAACAACATATCAAAGTGCATACATGAATTATTATAAATCAAGGATGGCCAATACATTGTGAATGGTTATACGATATCGTATCACATAAGAATCCTTTCGGATATTACTAAGTACATTTGTGCAACACAGCATTTGAAATTTGACAGACGCTGTTCCTACACATTTCTCTATCTAAACTAAATTTACAATTGATACAGGCTATGTCGATTTACGAGCTACGTCAAACAACAGACATCAATAATTTGTAACCCTTCCCACGCTACGCACGAGGTATCCCAATCAAATAAATTGGACATTTTTGTCTAAGCCAAATATTTTACGAGATCAGCGAAAGATACCTCTCCAATTATCTATCAACCTGAGCTACCTGTGGTTTTTCAACAATAGAATTTATGCGTTACTGGAAAGATAAGCTACTAACAGAGTGTGATTTCCTTCGCCATAAATTTGGCATGGACAGGGTTAAAACAGTTTCAGGATCACAGAATTATACAAACAATTCTTTTGTGTAGGATTTGAGGTTTCCACAGCCGCGAGTCAGAAGATGGCCGTCTTCTGGGTCGCTGCGCCGTATAGTCTGGTAGAAGTTCACTGACGTTTCAGAGGTCCTTGCTGCCTCCATCTTCAGCGCGATCATGATGGAGGAAGCAAAGGTCTCTGAAACGTCTGTAAAATTATACCAGACTACACGGCGCAGCGACCCAGAAGACGGCCATCTTCGATTCTTTTGTGATTTACGCGGCTTCTAGTATAAATTCTATTTATACAAATATTGTCATTTTAAATTCTACAGCCTCCAAAAAACCAAAAAAACCCTACACAACTAGGATACAATTACAATTTTTACTACATCACAAGTGCCAGAAATATCTTTGGCCCCGAGTCCATGAATTATGACATTTTCTTGTCAATTCTTGACATATTTAGGACTCGAAGGACTAGTCCGATCACCACGATAAATACGTAAGTACACAAGCATATTTCTCACTGTGATACTACAATTATGTAAAGTTTGTGCACACAAAGTTTTGATATGAAACTTTCTGATTCCAGTAGATCCCTTATCACAACGTACACAGTTACATTTCAAATTAACGTACAGCAACTCTGGTTTGTACACAAAACATGAAGACATTTGGCATCTTTCTGCTACTTTTGAGGGCCTTTTAGGCGTCAGATACAAATGGACGCATTTCAGCTTCAGCTGCTGGAAGATTTTTCAATACGCAGATAATCTGTCTTCCTCTAACAGTTGACTGTTACTCAGCTGTTCAAGACATTACCTGCTTTTATGCAATTCGATGATTCATCAGCACGTCCATTAAATCTCACCACTGAGCCCTAATTATTATGAGAAATATGAAAGAACTGAGGAACTGCATGCATGCCATAATAATTCTGGTACACGATATGACCCTTGACTTTTGAAAACAGCGCCAGTGACATCAGAGTCATGCATGGTCAACGACCTTTGTCTGGCTGCGTGATAACATCACCAAGGATTCCTCTCCTCAGGTGACATTTAATGAAATGAAATTCCGCATGAAACGACTCACGGCCCTCTACTACAATAAATACAATTCACATGTAATTAATGTTATAATCCTACGATATTTATATCCAAGATATTAACATATCACTTATTGTATTCACTGTATATCACATTTCACAGACAACCGTCTTAAAAGCCCAAATCAGCACCAGTGAACCTGCAGTAATTACAGTGTCAAAATAAATAAAAAAAAATATATCTCCAATACTCTCATCATAAGTAGCGATACATTTAACATAACAAAAATTCATAGATACATTCTAACATCTTTATTATTGACAATAAAACTAGACTATCCAGCACCAGAGTGGTCTCTTATGGCCTTTCACGTCTAACGACATCACCAGCAGAAAGTCAAATTTTCAGTTACTTTTCTCAAAAACAAGCCTGCAATGTTTCTCCTATAAATTACATTAAAAGCTATTCGCAGTTTACATGTTAAAAATTGCTGACAATAATGGGTTCTATTTTTGCGTTATCAGAGCTCCTGATCTCTGTCTTAATATTTGCAGTTAATTCACCCGAAAGTTTGGAAAAACTGACTCGGTTTTTCTGTCCTGTTGTAACAAAATAAACTTTGGGCTCATAGAGAACTGCTAATGCTGTTTACAAGCAGAAAAATACTCAGATCCAATATTTCAACATTGTTGCTATAAGAGAAATTGTATATTGTTAACAATGGACAAAATTTAGCAAAAATTAACCCTGAAGTTCCTTTTTTAGAATAATACCACTTAAAATAATGCGAGCATACGTCTTGTCATCCCTCATGTGTTTAGCAACAATATTATGTGTACGATTATTCCATAATGAAAACGTTATCAGGTAAAATCCATTCTTCAGTCCGCTGATACTCCGTACAATTCTATCTTATGATGTAACAAGTAACGCTCATTACAGGTTTAACTTTCCACGACCTTAAATTATAACAATACTAATAACATGTAGTCCAAAGTCTTTGGAATAATGTGACTTCAATAACAATTATTTACGTTTTAACAATGTTTTATGTGACAAATTTTAATTAATATATAAATTGATAACACGCTGGTCAGTCATTGCGAATACTTCTTATTTATAAACACATTTCTCAAAAAAAAAAAGGGAAACTTCTCCTACGTCAGATGTTCTTGGCCTTTTAAGACGCAGGGACAAATTTACTATTCTTTGTCGCCTTGCGGGCTGACAAATTACAATTAAATAAATGTTATTGAAACTTTGTCATTTTATTACAGACGCTACTAAATTTACTACCACAAACAGGTTCACATAATAGTTGATAATTTTCTTTAAGAAATTCTTTCATTTATAATTTTTATTACTCGTTCAGCTCAAACTACATCTTTAATTTTGGCAGTAACTGTTTTTCTTACAAAATGGTGGATAACTTTTGTTTTAGTACTGTCTATTACGCGTTAACCTTATTAAAGATGATAGAAAGGCAATAATACTAGTTTGTTGAACCGAATTCGTTTGTTACTGACCACAGTTTAGTTTTGCGTCTTTGGTCCAGTGCGTAATCCATAATCCATGTGGTATCAAAATGTTTTTTTTCCTTCTACCATTAAAAAGTTAATCACCAGTAACAAATAACTGCATAAAAATATATAAAAGACACAAAGAACTAAGAATCTGGTATAAACTTAGGTCTAAACATCAGAGAACATGGAAGTAATACATAGAAATGGAATAATGACGAAATTTTTTAAACGTGGCTGAAACACAGACAAAGAAAGCATAATTTTCCTTCCGCAAAGGAATATTTCAAATGACCTGTGTTCTGGCTCTCCTATCAAATGTTGCAAACAGAAAATTAAATATAAAATTCCTTTTAAAATAGCATAACGTTGAAATGGCAATGAAAGTAACATTAACATTTTATAAGTCCACGGGTAACTTGGTGACAGCGACGAAATCAGTTTGGCCCTCTGCATAGACCACAGATTTGGGATCCATGGGCAGGGCCTTCTCCTTTCGTCAGCAACCATTCCGAAGATTTGCACTGGAGATCTCGTTGCACTCAATCCATTTTGCGACTTCCAGAGGTATTTCTGGCTTCTGAGCACCTCCTTCCAGGCCTAGAAACTCTTTCATGATCTCTTCTGCGTTACAGGATATTACGCGTTGCTGGCAAATGACGATCGCCCTTACAAAGTCATCCTTTGGGGTGATAAACCTGTGCTCCATATACAGCGCCTTGCTATCCCAGTAGATAATCTGAAACAGTGAATATACTGAAGGCACGTGCCACCAAACCGTGGAACAATATCAAACCACACTTACATTACTTAAATGTAATGAATAAATCACATTTAAAAGAAAGAAACGAAATGTGAGGGGACTCAAACCCCGGTCATCTAAATTGTTGTCTACCCGCCAAACTGACTGGGTCACCAGGCTCTTGATTATTTTACTGTGCCAGTCAACTTTATACACTATGGCACGATGCACGGTGCATGAAAAGGAATTAGAACTTTGCACGATAAACTTGGTTGCTAAGCAACGCACATCCTGACATCCTGATCAAGGTATTGTTTCTACACGTGCCTTAAAATATCCTGGAGGTCGAATATAACAAAGGCTACATCCTACCTTTCATCTTCCATCCAAGCAAACACTTTAAAAAAATTACTTTCTTTATAAACACTTGGAGAGGAAATTGGAAACTGAAAAACCTCATTCTCTGAACATTAATTTTATTTGAGTTTCCTTCTTTACACAAGCAACTCGATAAATTAGCAGAAAACGTAATTTAATAAAAGCACTGCAGTAAAAATGAATGAAATGTAAAAGATAAAGTAGGAGGAATGGAAATAAAAAGCAATCAGAATAGTGGGGGGGGGGGGGGGGGGGAGAAAGTGGAGGAAGGACGAAAGAAATGGAAAGAAACAAGCTAAAATGAAAGCAGATGGAAAACAGAATACACTGAATCTAATTCAGGTAGTAAGAAATTAAGTTTACTGAGGTACATTTTAGTATTCCGAAGTTTCAATACGCAGAACAAGTCCTTGATAGTTTGCTTCTTACTTTTTCGGGGTTACAAATCAGCAGAGAGCAACTTTTAAAACAAGTAAATCCTGTCTGGGCTTCACGTGATACATCTTAACAAAAAAAAAAAAAATTGTTTGGCAGGACTGATGAAAACCACGCCATATTTTTTTTTTTCAAATCGAGAAAGAAAACCTGTTTTGGTTGCAAGCCGACGTCGCCTCCAAACAAGTAACGTAGATCTTGTTAAGCCAGTACAAGCCCCAATAATAACCTGTTTAGATAAAACGCATTACAAGTATGTCGGAGAAGTTGCGGCGACTGCAAGGCGTTTAGAGTTCCTGAAATCTTAAGAAGAGTTTGAATAGGGATTTAAAGCAGAAGCTCAGTAATCAGATTAACTAAGTAAGAAAGTGAATAATTACATATCATTAACTGCTTCAGCAATTAACTAATTTAACAAACATATAACACAGGTACCTAACTAAATAACTAACTGCATTTCACAATTCTATTTATTTATTTATTTAGTGTTCTGTCTGACGACAGGTCCATATGAACAGGATCCTTCCATCCTTTTCTCGGACTGGGACCTGTTCATATACGTTCTTGGCAGATGATCCAGAAGTGGTTTGCCATTGCCTTCTTCTGTGTGTGAATGGAGTAATTGTTGGGATGCCACGGAGAAACCGGGAAAGCCCCCGGAGGAAAACTCCGTGTTGCCTAGACCACGGCCTTGCCCAACACAAGTTATAAATTCGGGCACCACCGGGAATCGAACCCGAGACCCCAGGATTACAAGGCCAAAGTTCTAACCGCTAGACCACCGTGCGGTTTCACAATTCTATCAATTTTAATAATAAATCAAATAACTAAACATTTATTAACGAACAAATTAAATTAATTTCGTAACTCACTAGTACAGGTAGAATTCTATTTATATACACCCGTCTTACCCTGAAACTAAGATTGTTTAGTCATTTCACACTCCCATAATTTAATAAGTTCCCCACTAAAAGTTTGCTGAAACGTGCACATAACCCCCTTTAATATTAAGCTTAAATTAACCGCAGAATACAGGATCTGGCGACAAAATGTTTAAATTTGAAGGTAACTACATCCATACTTCATTGCTTTTGTGTCGTGAAAAAGTTGACAGGGCTACATTTATACAGATCAAGATGCTTGTGTCATTCTTACAGTAAAGTTACTAGGTTTTATTTGACAGTCGTTCTGTTTACCTTTGACGTAATTTTGAAAACAGAAAACGGCCGAATGAAGCGACGGTATCGAATGGTACATGCGCCCTGGACCACAGCACCGCCTTTCTGCCTGATTGTCTTGTACAGACCAGTTCGCTCGTAGAAATCTACTCTAGCAAAATCGAGTTCTCGGAGGTATCGAGCGTTGTTCATGTGGTAGATGAGCGTGTCCAGGTCTGTAGTGATGCACACACCTGCAACCACAAGAAAAAAGATTAACTTACGAGTCGGGGCAAGATTTGGGCCCTAGCATTGGTGAAATAATAATATTTCGCCGGATCAAATGTCTGAATCAGCCAAGAGAAAAACACATTACAGAGCGAAGCAGAAACTCATGACGACTGCTATGCTTTAATCCTACCAGAGACTGTTGGATCTCGATCCGACATTTGTGGAAAACACAACGATTCAAACACCAAGGCCAGTCGGGACAGATGAGAACTGCATGGAACTAAAAGATTCAGTCGGATTTTAAATTTCCGCTGAATTTTGTTCTGGGTTCAGTCTTAAGGTGACAGGGGAGACTCGAAGGCTCCCACCGGATCAATAGCCGACCGACGACATCAGAACAGACGCGCCGACGCCTGGATCGCGTTACTGTACGGCGTCACCTCGTACCTTGCACAATTATCCGGCATGTCGATAGCCGTCAACCACCGCAGAGATCCTGAATTTCGACGCTTGGCTACAAAAGAATGGCACAACAGACACGCGGCGGTCTGTGTGGTGGGGCCGAGGCTTCGGTGCTCGAGTTCATGATGTAAAGTTATCGACAATGTTCGTCTAGGATGAGACGTCGTGCAGACCTGTGGGTTCAACTTTCATCTCAGCGGCTATGACCTTTGAAGTCCAAATTTTATTACCGTAGCGGAGAGGCGGGTAACTTGGCGTGTTACAGATTTTTATTGAATTTCAATCAAATACTGGTAACTAGTTGTCACGCTGTTAAGTAATTTCAAGAATAGTTCCAAGAACACGTACTATCTGTTAATAATGTCAGTCATGACACTTCATGGTAGAATCTAAATTGCAATGTTCATATTAATATGAGAATAGCGTTTAAGATAAACACAGAGGTGTGACGTGTTATAATAAAGAGTTGCCAGATGTTACCAGTTTCACGCAACAGAGCAGATGTTCCACAAGACTTAGATTGATGTGTAAGAAGATAACACGCGGACAATTCGAGTGTCCGTTATCACGTAAATATCACGTGGGTTACTGCAGTAAAAAAAGGAACACAACGAGAGAGAAAGGGTAGTACAACATGTACTTAAAATACGTGACACTGTTTTCAAATGTTCATTATCTAAGGTACATTAAATACACACGGTGTTTCGGGAGTTGAATATACACTCGTATTAATGTGAATCCAATACACATTTTCAGACACTAAAATCCACTTTAATCTTATCCTCCAATCTACTTCTACGTATTCCTAGTGTCTTCCTTTAAATTCTTTCCAGAACAATGTTTAAAATACATTTTCTAATTTCCACACAACTACGGGCTGGACGACCGGGGTTCGATCCCCGACTGGGGCAGAGGATTTTTCCTCTAGCCTCTGCGTCCAGACCGGCTCTGGGGCCCACCCAGCCTCCTCTACAATGGGTACCGGGGGTCCTTTCCCGGGGGTAAAGCCGGCCGGGGCGTGATGCTAACCACTCACCCCCATCTAGTGCCGAGGTCAAGGAAGAGAGGAGCTATACCTCCACTCCCCCCAAACGCCTACATGGCGTATAGTGGGACAAACTTTACTTTACTTTACACAACACTGTACGTCCCTCCATGTCGCAGTTTGCGAGGTTTTATCAAGTCCCCTACCTCACTTCATTCCACTTGAGTCCAAACTTTCCCCTCAGTACCCCGTTCTCAAACACCCTCAATACATATTCTTCCCTTAACGTGAAAGACCAGGTTTCAAACTCATACAAAACAACAAGTTAAATTATAGTTCTGCACATTCTACTCTTTACGTGGTTAAACAAGATACTGGAGAAAAATTAGACTCTGAACGTCGTTAAATAAACCAATAAAAAAATGTAAGACTTGAGGTTCTCACAGCGGTGAGTATGAAGATTTCCGTCTTCTGGGTTGTTGCGCCGTGTAGTCTGGTCGATGTTTACCAACGTTTCAGAGGTCATACTGCCTCCGTCATCAGGGCGATGAATATTCATCAACCCAGAAGACGGAAATCTTCAATTAAAAATGCATGAAACTGAATGAACTGGGCCTTGGTGTGTGACACGTTCCAGACACTGAACCAGAGCAACAGGCTAATGTGAACTTGTAACACTTCCAGGTTAGTCGGCTTTCAGTTACCTAAGCAAAGTGAAAGTGCCACTAGCAAAGGATTCTCCTTCCTCATTACAGAACTTCCTGTAACCAAATTCGGTTTCCTTCAAGAACAAGATTTTAATTCAAGGTGAAACGCGTACGTACTTACCGACAGATCAACCTAAACACAAGGCGATCGTCGAGGTGGAATTCCTAAGACCAACACAAGGAACAACGTGGGCAGACAACTGAAAGGCGATGAACACTAAAACGAGCTGGTAACAATAATATTCCTAAAACACCGACGAAACGATGCAGGAGATCCAAAGATGAAACACAAAGAACGAATGGATGGATACGGAATTCAAGAGTCGCCGTGGACCGATCAAGGAGAAGGTCAACTTTCTCATGGCAAACCACTTACTACGAGACTGGGCGTTGAGAAGGTGTTCGAGAGTCGGAAGAAGGAAAAGGCCACCTAGCATAAATGGCTTAAAGGCTGGGTCATCTTTCACGAAGCGGATTCCACGAAAAGTTGAAAGTGATTCAAGTGGTTCACTTTGTAAAGAAATGTCCTTACATGTAACCCCAAGATTCACTTCCGTGCTTACAATTACCCCTACACTCAGCCATACAAGTCCAGTCCACAAATACATGGTTTTTAAAGATCCATTTTAATATTATCCTCCCAATAAGGTGTAAGCCAGCTTCGTTTCGTGAAGTTATTTAAACGCATTAATGAGGAAAAGGTATTATTGAAACAAACGAGCTTAAGTAAAGGACTGCAATGTAACTTGGACAACAGACAGTCATAGATTTTTGCTTAGAAAATAAAATAAAAAATATCTTGGCGCGAGATGGAACCTGTGGAGGACAGGAAAAAAAAAAGGAACCAGTCTTCCTACTGACAGTGCGACATAAATTTGGCTACAAGCTATTCGAGTAGTTGTATAAAAAACATTATTTTTACAGTCGAAATCCGAAGGTTTCTGAGTAGGGGGCCCGACAGATGGACTTCCCGTCCTCTTCGTCACCTTTCCATCTGAAGGCAAAAGCAGAACTCAGCTTTCGAAACTCTGTAACCTTATAATGCAGAAGTCGAAGACAGTACGTTACGAAATATCCCAATTCCTGCTTAATTGTTTACACTATTTCAGCGGCATTCTTAGAGTGCAAACTTGTTAACGATCCTGTACCACATGGCCGTCGTAGGAACACGCCTGTTGGCAAACACAGTGACGCAACTCGCAACCAGACGACCTTGACCCCCGCATTAACACCAATTGAATCAATGTCAGTAACACCACGGCGCAGAGCCTTTCTTTAAGAGCTTATAGTTACTCAGAGAAGATTGGGACTGGTTTCCTCTGGATCGCATGCAGACAAGTGGCTGGCTCTCGAGACTACGGCAATGAACTCCAGGTTTCAGGACGGAGAATTATTTGAACAGCTGAGCGACCACTAGCTTCTCAAGAAGGTAGTTCAGTGTACAGGCAAGGGTAATGGTGGGAATAAGGACCACGGTAGGAGGATAATACGTGTTAGGCGTGGAAGTGCAGGTTACAGGTTTATTACACCGTCCCCTTTACAGGAGGTTGGCGACATATTGTGAACAGGATCCTTCCACCCTTTTCTCGGACTGGGACCTGTTCATATACGTTTTTAGGCAGGTGATACAGAGGTGGTTTGCCATTGCCTACAGCTTACTTTTATTTATTTGTAGTGTTCTGTCTGACGACAGGTCCATATATTATGAACAGGATCCTTCCAACCTCTTCAGGTTGTCAGGGACCTGCTCATACATATATACATTCTTGGCAGAGATGATCAGAAGTGGTTTGCCATTGCCTTCTTCTGTGTGTGAATGGAGTAATTGTTGGGATGCCACGGAGGAAAACTCCGTGTTGCCTAGACCACGGCCTTACCCAACACAAGTTATAAATTTGAGCACCACCGGGAATTGAACCCGGGACCCCAAGCTTACAAGGCTAGTGTTCTGACCACTAGACCACCGTGTCGGTACAGCTTACTTACACAGTCATAAAAGCATTTCGTAGGCAACACCGCTGCCGGTGGAACGAATAAAACAAATCCGAGGTCATGAAACGAAATCTATCAGGAAAATAATAAAATAAGATCATGCGATGCTTTGATCATGTGGCAGTTTTTTCACAAGAGGCGAACGACATCCAAAACTTGTTTTTTTAGACGGTTCAGCTGACGTATCGCTTCCCGTTGAAATGCAAGTCAAAAAAAGAAAGAAAAAATTCAAAATATTTATAAGTGATTCCAGTTTCTGGATGCACTCTTATGGAAATGAGCCTAGATGGGAGCCCAAGGTTCTTAAACATGCAGATAATTCTATCAAAATCAGCCCAAAGGTTTCCGAATCAGTAGGATTTGAGGTTTTCACGGCTGTGAGTACGAATAGATCCACGTAGTCTGATAGAAGTTTACCGACGTTTCAGGTGTCACTGCTGCCTCCATCGTCAGGGCGATAAAAATCACTTTTGTTATAATGATCTAGAAATATTTAGGGCATTTTGCGAACGCTTATTTGACACAAAACGTGCGTTACATTTTTCTGCACAACTTTTATTCCATACACTTCTCCCTCTGATAAAATATTTAACGATTTATTTTCGATATGGGCGCAAAAACGCCCACGAGGCTCTGCCTGTAAAATATCCATCAATGTTATCCGATACTAATCAAAATTGGAACGAGTCGACAAATTTCAGAAAAAACTTCTGTTACGTGGTTCTCGACTTGCTTGTTAAATGTGTGAAGAAGTACTTCAGAGAGAGTTTGTATCATTCCGCAGTCCCGTGTTGGAGGCATACAGAAACAGAAAAAGTTGCGTTGTCACTACGTATATACAAATAGTAATGACAATGTACGTATCTCATGAGCGGAGTGATAACTAGCTCATAGCTGTTTAGTCACTTATTACACGTGTGTCAACGATTCACTATTACAGACACAGGTGAAATCCCTGATATCGTAGTCCAATTCTGCTAACCTTGGACAAAGAAAAAATATTATGTGTTACTTTTTTTAAATAATACGCTCTTGATTTTTAGGACATTAATTTTATCATGGTCAGCAACTTTTTAGCCTTCTGGCACAGATCGTGTGTGTAACAACCGGGCTTGAACCTATGCAGAAGAAATGTAGTTCAAATGTCGATAAAAAAACCAAGTGATCTCTGTTTCATTTTAAAGAACCGACAACAGCTCAACCAGCAAAGTTCTAAACAGCCACTGTTCCATTACTGCAGGGTCAGAGGACATTTCTTTGTCACCACATCCATCTTTTGAGTCCATTTCCATGGTCGGTAAAAGGAAGTGAACATACACGAGTCGACGTTTCTTCCCCGAATTTATTCAACGGATTTGTATTAAATTTGGTATTGAAATCTATATTAAACACTGTTAAAAGAATTTAATTTTAGTTCGCACGACCAAATATACAGGGTGAGTCAGAGGTATGTTTACAAACTTCGTGTGCGTGTTCCATAATCAAAAATAAGAAAAAAAATGTTCCTATGAACATGGGGTCGCAAATGCCACGAGAACCTCAAATTGTACCGGAAACCTTTTAGAATTTCGTAGATGAAACTTATACAACCTGTCCTATACACGCGCATTTTGTGTGGAAAACGCACATGAGAAGGGCTAAGCAACTTGGAAGAGAGACTGAATAGGAACAATGAAAGTACGATGGTAATGGTACAGATCGAGTTGATGCGCCTTCAGATTTCACAGGGGGCTGTAGCAAAAATTGAGACTGCATCTCAGGTACGACGTAACCAAATGACGCAAACGACAGGGACTTGGAGGGCAGTGACGAGCATCAGTAACGAGAGAAAACAGAGCCAACAAGCCAGCTGTTAGGGCATACTGCTTCACGATTACATTTAGTGGCATGCATTTACATAACTGCGACGTTCCGAAACAAAGTACCGAGGAGAATATTTCGATTCAAGAGTGGGAAACACATTTCCACTTCACTAACTTAAAATACAGAACAGCTGTGATATTTGCAAGGTACCTAATTTACTTGCATTTTAAAAATTCAAATGTACTGAAACTGGGACAATTTTAGAATCGAGTCAAGCTGATACTGCCCCAGCAGCTATGCTTAACCACGCACTGTAGCAACAGTAGATTGGAATGAGAGTGGCTTATCATAAAACGTACTGTTTGAAACCCACTCTTGTGCCTTGTATTGATCACAGGACCATCAGAACGCGGAATGGATTTATACGCCGATATGGGTTGCGTCCATTGCACACGACGGGGAAAACCAATTTCTCACTTCACTGTAACGACATCTGACTTTTTATGACATCCTTCGAAACCAAAGCTCGTGTAAATAATATTTAAGAATTCAGTGCGTACCGCAAAGTAAACACGACACTTCACCACTAAAAAAATAAATTGGTTAAGGCTATTTAAAGAAATAATAGCTGTTTACAAAGAGAATCATACGAAGTCCATGTTGAAGCAGGAGGAACATATATTGTGTGGTTTCTTATCAAACACAATATTTCGGAAACTTGACGTTTCTATTTAATTTGACCCCTAAGAAGAAACTGGGCTCGATACCTGCATATGAACGCCACTTGTCTCACCAGGAAACTGAAGAAAGTATCTTTTCTTGGTTGTAAACATCGTTTACAAGGCAATATAAAATTCGTATGTACAATGGCGTATTACCCTCACTGGAAATGAAAGCCTTCTGGGAAATTTCGAATAGTAGTCTCATAGAAGTTTACCGACGTTTCAGAGGTGCATGCTGCTTCCATCATCATCATCATCATCATCAGGGCGCCTGATGGTGTCGGCAAACTTCTACCAGACTACGCGGCCTTATAACCCTGAAGAGTCATCGAAGGCAAAACAAATGCGTTGTCTCCATGTTTGGTAACTTGCGATATTTTAAGAAAAAGTATTAATGTGTTCATACAACCTATTGACGTTCATTACATTTCTTGTTACAGACAATTAAGAATAGATTTTACACTACAAATCTGTCTTTGCACACGGCATGCACAAAGCCATAAAATAATAAGAGTGATCTGAGGTAAAAATTCAAGCTCTCCTAATCTCGGCAGTGGACGTAGGCGAGATATTTTAATTCAAAAGGCCACCCCCATTGTTTGGCGATACATCAATTCCAAGCAACTAACTGTTAGCCGATAGATTGTGTCTACTTAAAAGTCCAAACAAAATCAACTTACCATAGACGTATGTATCGTCCAGGATCTTGATCTTTGTCTTGAAGAACTTGGCGATGATGACGGCAAGGCACATTCGCATGAAGTAGTGAATTTCGAGGAAGAGATGGATAGCCACCAAGCACACCAAGATGCCCCCAACAATATAGCACACCAACATCATGTTGCACCGCTGGAACTACAACTGACACTTTGTTTACCGAGTTCTGGTTAAGTTCTGATTTGGAGTCCTCACTGTCTTTGCTACTCCAAAACAGTCAACTCAATCATTGCCGCTTCTCATACTCATTAATACGAAAACACATTACAAAATTTACATCAAACAGGCTCCTGCCATCATGATTTTCCTTTAGTGAATGCCCTTCATGAACATAGAAACATTTTTGGAATATCGAACACGAAGAAACTGCTGTTACAATTCAAGATATCAGTTTATTCTTTTACGTAGCACCTTCGTATTTTAAGGTCGCACAGCTATCGTCGTCGTTTTAAATGCAAGTGACAAATCCAATTTCTTTCGCAAGTTGTAACAGAGCGCAGAAATCAAACTCAGCTAAAACATGTCCATAAA